GGTGGCATGAAATTTGGCTTGCAACAGGGAGCCCCCCTTCCAGGTCCAAACTCAAAAGTAAATAACATTCTAGCCCCTAAAATGTATAGTTAAAATAATAATAATGATAATAATAATAATAAAAAAAAATGTATGGTTAGCTGCTGTTTCAAATACAGTGAGGCCTTGACTTACGAGTGTCCCGACTAACGAGTTTTTCGAGATACGAGCCGTCTCTCGGCTGATTTTTTGCTTTGAGTTGCGAGCTAAAATTCGGGTTACAAGCCAGCTTCAGATACCCCACCACTAGCTGACGCAGCGAACGTCACAGTGAACGCCACAACATCAGCCCAGCATAACGTGTCTCACTCGTTCACTTTAAGATTTGACATACGAGTAATTTGAGTTACGAGCTCCATCACGGAACGAATTAAACTCGTAAGTCAAGGCCCCAATGTACATATATCCAATCTCTGTAAGTTCTCTGAGGGCAAGCATTAAATTTCTATTTTCTTTAACCTTCAGAGCTGGAGGACATTTTCCCTATGTTGCTGAGGAAAGAGGATGAGACTTAGATTACATTGAGACCCAGACCCTACTGAGACCTGACTATGTGCAGCTAATTTAAACTACCTTGTGAGTTAGTGACTATTATTATCATCTCGATTCTATAGATAAGAAAACGAAGGCTCAGAGAGACTGAATTCTTCTCAAATATAAAGAAGCTAATCAGAGCTGAACCATAATTTGAAACCCAGTCTATTTGAATCCAGACTCCATGCTCTTTTCTGCTACATGTGTGACCTCAAATACTTCTTTTTAACAAATTTTTTTTATTTATTGATTTGAGAGAGAGAGAGAGAGAGGCATAGATTTGTTGTTCCACTTGTGCATTCACTGGTTTCTTCTTGGATGTGCCCTGACCGGTGATGAAACCTACAACCATGGCATCTCAGGATGACGCTCGAACCAATCCAGCTACCGGCCAGGGCCACTGTTTCTTTTTCTTATGTTGTTGCTCTAGGACAATGTTGAGTACTAGTGGTGACAGCAGGCATCCTTATACTGTTCCTGATCTTAAGGGGGAAAGTTATCAGTCTTTCCACATTGGGTATATTAACTATGGGTTTTTCATAAATGCTTTTTACAATGTCAAGGCGATTAAAGTAATTTACATCGAGTCTCATCAACTTAGGCTTTCGCTAAGATACCTCAATGAAATACAGTTTAATAGAAACAGTGTATTTTTTAAATCTGCATTGAAAAACATTTGCTCGATGAGACGGAGTGCATAAGAGGAAACATACCTTCCACTTGGTAAAGAGATCGGCAAGGAAACCATTCACAGCTTTCTCAAAATACAGATCCCCTGAAAAGGAACAAGAAGAGAGTGAGGACAATCTGTCATTCTTGCTGACAATTTCTTCTCTCAGTAAAGTCACAGGAATGGGACTAGTCCAAGAGAAGGTGGGTTCTGCTATGTCCTCAAACGAGATCATAAAAGCCAGACATACAGAAGGGGTTTCAACCTAGACTTTCTATGGGGTCAAATTCAGCATTCACCTCACTGAGTGAGAGGCCATGGCTTCGAGGTAAAATGCAAGATTGAAGAAGCTCTGACTGGAAAATACGGTGGGTCTTCAAAATGAGAGAACATCTAATTTCCAAACATGATCATTTTCATAGGGAGGCGTGCAGTTCATTAGATGATCAGGTGGACCCTGGCATTGGCTGAATTACCATTTTCAGTTCCTGCTGTTTTTGAGTGATTTTGATGACCCGCAGGAAAAAAGGAATTTATAATTTTATAAAACACAAATTCGAATTGCGTGCACCATGAAGCTGGTGTTGGACACAGTATCCACACTGCCTAGCACCTTTACTGTTCTCTACTTGTATCGTTCGAATAAAATGAGATTTCCGGGATGATAGGATGAGAAATGAAAGATAGCAAAGAAAGTATTGGTTCACAGAGTCACTCTCTTTATGACTTTTGACCCTGTAGTCACAGGACAATTAAAGATCTATTGGCATTATGAGTGTCTGTGCTTTAGTTTATCTTTTTGTTTACCTTTTAAAGCTTTGCCACATGTCATGTAATTCAGTATATGGAAAATATATAAATTGTTTGTTTGTTTTAGCGTTTGAGGATTTGTAAAAATCCCAGGGACACATTAGAGAATGTCAAGGGCTTACTGTCAATGATAACAACTTGGGAGAAACCAGAAACTTCTCCCCATTAGCAGTGACAGCCAGCATTTAGGGACAGTACCATAAATATCAAAATCCCACATTTCACAGCTCATCTGAATAAATATGTAAACCATAGCCGACGTAGAACGGAACACCACCTGAAATAAACGAAAACATGACTGCATTAGAAAAGCAATGCTGTAGAGTTTCAGCTCGCCATTCTTAGTGAACGCAGTGGTTTTTAGCATAGTCACAATGTTACGCAACCATCAGCGCTAATGCCAGGACATTTCATCACTCCGAAAAGAAACACATACCCACTAGCAGTTACTCCCTCCTACCCTCTTCCGTGTCTCTGTGGATTTGTCTCTTGTGAACACTTTACATAAATGGCATCATACAATCTGTGGCCTTTTCTAGCTGGTTTCTCTCACTTAGCATAATGTTTTCAAGGTTCAGCATGAATCATCACTTCATTTTTTTTTTTTTTAATCCTCACCAGAGGATATTGTTCCATTGATTTTTAGAAAGTGGAAGAGAGAGGGAAAGACAGAGAGAAATATCGATGTGAGAGAAACACACAATTGGTTGCCTCCTGCAGGAGCCCTGACCAGGGTCCGGGCTGGGAAGGAGCCTGCAACTGAGGTATGTGCTCTTGACTGGGATCGAACCTGAGACCTTTCGGTCCACAGGCCAACACTCTACCCACTGAACCTAGAGCCAAACCGCCTAGGGCTCATTCTTTTTTTATTGAATAACCTTCTATTGTATGGCTATACCATACTGTGTTTATCTACTCATCAGCTGGTTGTTTCCACTTTTTGCTATGTGAATAATTCCGCCACAAACATTTATATGTAAGTTTTTGTGTGAGCACATATTTTCAATTCTATCAGGCATGTACCTGCGAGTGTAATGGCTGGGTCATTTGGTGATTCTACATTTAACCTTTGGAGGAACCGCCAAATTGTTCCACAGTGGCCGTGCCATGTTACATTCACCCTGGGAGTGTGTGCAGGTTCTAATTTCTCCCCATCCTCTCTAACACTTGTCATTTTCCTTTTTAAAATTTTTTATCAGCCGAGACCGGTTTGGCTCAGTGGATGGAGCATCGGCCTGCGGACTGAAGGGTCCCAGGTTCGATTCTGGTCGGGGGCGTGTACCTGGGTTGCGGGCACATCCCCAGTGGGAGATGTGCAGGGGGCAGCTGGTCGATGTTTCTCTCTCATAGATGTTTCTAACTCTCTATCTCTCTCCCTTCCTCTCTGTAAAAAATCAATAAAATATATTGAAAAAAAAAATTTTTTTTATCATAGCCATCCTAGTGAGTTTGAGGTGGTAGCTCAGTAGGGTTTTGACTGACATTTCCCTAATGACTAATGATATAGAACATCTTCTCACGTGTTTATTCGTCAATTGGGCTGTTTGTCTTCCTTTTTTAAAGAGAATTAATCAGCCTTAACCGGTTTGGCTCAGTAGATAGAGCGCTGGGCTGCGGACTGAAGGGTCCCAGGTTCGACTCCGGTCAAGGGCATGTACCTTGGTTGTGGGCACATCCCCAGTAGGGGCTGTGCAGGACGCAGCTGATCGATGTTTCTAACTCTCTATCCCTCTCCCTCTCTGTAAAAAAATCAATAAAATATATTTTTAATTAAATAATAAAGTGAATTAGTCATTTACTATATTTGAGTCTCTTTCAGAGATACTTTAAAACGTTCTAGTTAATGTCGATTATAACTTTTTCTATCATATTTTAATATTTATGTAGATATATAGCCATATAATATTGCCATTCTTAATTTAGAATTTGGGTGTTTTTTTATATTTATTATTAAAAGTTTCAAAC